GTTTTTTTATTAGCGCTTCGAACGCTGCGGATTTGCCTCCGCACTTATGTCGGCGCGGATAAGGGCATCGCGGTTTTGTGGTGGAACCATTCTCCTAAGCACCTGAGTGTAGAACAAGAAGCAGTGGGTGGAAACTAATCAAGGAGAGAAGCAACCTAGAACTAAGGAGAAATTTCCTGACAGTTAGAACAATTAAGTGGAACAACTTGCCTCCAGAAGTTGTGAATGCTCCAACACTGGAAATTTTTAAGAAGATGCTGGATATCCATTTGTCTGAAGTGGTGTAGGGTCTCCTGCCTAGGCAGGGGGTTGGACTAGAAGACCTCCAAGGTCCCTTCCAACTCTGCTATTCTATTCTATTCTATTCTGAAATATACATTATCCTCTACTGAGGGAAGCGCTAGTCTTCAAGTCCAACCTCTTAAAATTATCTGCTTCATCTCTACTGATTAAAACAGTCACTTTGACAACTTTAAGTTACCTTGATTTCAATGGGAATTTGAGGTCCAGACATCTTAAAGTTGCCAAGATTGAGAAAGACATGATTAAAAGGATATTTAACCTCATTCCACTTTGGGTACACCCTGGAGGAAGATGCATTAGAGTAGACACACCTAGCGATTCTGGAGAATCTGGATTTTCTTCAGAACTGTTAACGTGAGAGGTTGTCACAGGGGGTTGAAGGAGAGTGATGAAACTGCAAGAACTGGAAAATTGATGAATAGAATGAGGGCAAAAAAAAAATGGAATGGAGGAACAGTGGCCCAGTGGGGTGAAAGTTTGGGCAGAGAAGTACCGCGTGAGCGAGATGGACAGGCATTTTTGACAAGTTCCCTCCTCTCCAGCAAGCTGCACTGCATGCGCAACTACATCCACATGAACCTCTTCGCCTCCTTCATCCTGAAGAGCGTCTCAGTGCTCACCATCGACACACTGCTCCACACTCGCTACAGTGAGAAGGTTGACGACTACAACGTGAGCCTTTGGCAGAGTGACAAGGTAACAATATCCTCTTTTATAGTCCCTCATTTATTTTATTTTCTCCTGTTTCCAGCTACATTGTAAGGCTTCCACCCAACCAACCAACGCCCACTTCCTATATAGGTACAGATCCAATAATCCCTATGCCAGGAGTTTCTGAACACTGTGATAATGCAACCCTCTCAAGTGATAAATGAACTTCTCTGACACCTCCGCCATCATGAATTAGGATGGACAAATAATTAATGTGTCTAAATAATTTATGTACATATAAATAATCACATTTTTTTAATTGAGGCCAGCTGGTTCCTCTGTATCATTAGAAATTCTCAGGTTTCAAGAACTACAGTGGCCCACTGCAGGCTCCGGAATGGGACTTTTCGGCTCCTACCCTTGGCTGCACCTGCTTCTCCACCTGGGTTCTGCCTCCGGCCATTCACCACTGGCTTTTCTCCTCAGCTGGCCCGCCCCCACCCATTTGCCCTGGACAATGGGCCACAGCCCCTCCGTCCCACACATTTAACTGCAGCCCATTCGCCAAAGCAGAGTACGTCCTGGGTTTTTTTGCCACCTGGGACAGTTAGCCGCCAATGCTGGCAGTCAGAAGCCATGATGCAATCGATCGCAGTTTGGGGGAGAGGCTGCAGGCAAATGGCTTTAGGAAAGCTAACACTTGTTAGGAGAAGGTGTCCCATTGGCCAGGGCGAATGGGTGGAGGCGGGCCAGGCGAGGAGAAAAGCCAGTGGTGAATGCCTAGAGGCGGAACCCTGGCAGAGAAGCAGGCACGGCCAAGGGTAGGAACCAAAAAGTCCTGGACCCGCAGGCTCACTTAGTCACAATGGGGAGTAAAAGCCTGACTGAGTTTTGACAATGCTACTACCCCCCGTTAGTTTTTAAATAAATTGTGACACTCTACCTCCCCTCCACACTTCTTGAAGATCCTTGTGCCTGTCTGAGAGGTCCCAAGCTCCAGTCTAGGAATCTCCGTTTTATGGCGATCATTCTACTTTCTACAGTCTTCGTTTTTTTGTTCCCATGGCCAAACAACCAAGGACCATTGAAAAGTTTGGGGATGGTTTAAAATAACTTAACGGGGAGGGGGGGATATTTTTAGGTCAGCTGACACTTACATCCAGTTTCTCTACCACATAATGCTACATGTCAATAACCTTCACATAAGGATGTTCTATTGTTCTTCATGTATGTCATTGCTGAAGATAAGATCCTTGTGAAAGCTCATCCTGGAGCTAGGCTTTGATTCAAAGTGAGCTATGGTCATGCTATAAAATCTCTGTTCAGTGATTCAGTGTTTGTACTTCCTACGTTTATTTGGTGAGAACATTCTGATCCTCTGGAAGTTTCTGAACTACATTTCCCAGCAGCTCCAATCAGCAATTCTACCTTCATAATATCTGGAAAGTCACACATTACACGTTTTGCAATCCCAGACATGAGAAGCAGCAGTGATTGCTCTCATCAAGCAATTTCTAACAACTAACAACTGTAATTCACAATTCAAGGAAAAGCCACTGGCACACTGCCCAGAAACCTCTGAATCTTGTGAAAGTGACAAAAGAGTATTTCATCCTTTTCTTTTTTAACTCCAAGACTCCCAAGGCTGTCCCACTGCTAGTTTTTAACCCTAAGCCAATGTTCCTCAGTCTTAGCAACTTTAAGATGTGTGGACTTCAACTCCCAGATCTAAGACCACCCACACCCACACAGACAGGCAAGCCACCAGAATATAAAGTGACAGCAAACAGCTTTCCTTACTAGCACTGATGATGTTACCTGTTAGGGTAATGAAACATCTGCAAGAAAACGCTGTCATAAGGCATCAACCTGAGAACTATATGGTTAGGACAAAACCACTTCCCAGCCCAGAAACCTGTCGTTTAGAGCAGGGGTCCTCAAACTACAGCCTGCAGGCCTGATACAGCCCACTGAAGCCATTAATCTGGCCCGCGAGGGACCAGGGGGCTGCCCCACCCACATCACCCCATCTACCCCTGGCCCCCACCTGCCTTCTGGAGGCCGAGGAGGCCAAAAGGGCCCCTGCTTTTGGCTTCCTTGGCTTTCAGAGAGGGAGAGAGCCACACAAACACATAAACAGAAGTCCCCCACACACACCCTAAGCCAGTCACATCCCTTCACTAAACTGCTTTACACCCCCAGAAGCATAACAAATTAAAGTTTAATTTGTGCGCATTGTTTAATGGATTGCCAATAAATTGGCCACGCCTACCCAGTCACATGACCACCTAGCCACACCCAGCCAGCCAGTCCGGCCCCCAACTGTCTAAAGGACCATGATTTGGCTCCCTGTTTAAAAGGTTTGAGCAACATGTTCTTGGGATTATCCTTCTTCCTGACTCCTTTCCTTTCTCCAGGCAGCCACAGGGTGCCAGGCAGCCACAGTGTTCATGCAGTATGGTATTGTGGCCAACTATTGCTGGCTGCTCGTGGAGGGGATTTATCTGTACAACTTGCTGGTGTTGACTGTCTTCTCGGAACGCAGCTATTTCACCCTCTACCTCTGCATCGGCTGGGGTGAGTATAGGACGGGGAGTTGAGTGTCAGTAATCATCAGGGGCCAGATAAACCTCATCTTTAGGAGAAGAACACAAGGGAGTCAACTGTAATAGCAGAACAGGAAACAATATAATTGGGGGTGGAACTAGAGCATGTGATCATATTCCTGATGTCTGGCATACAGCACGTACGACAATTATGATTATGAGAATAGCCAGGAAGTATGGATTTGACCCAGACTGCTTCTTCGGTTCCACTGGCAATTAGTTTAGATCCAGTGGTATCTTCTTCTGGAGAAACAAAGCGGAGGGGATGGCTATTGAAAATAGCAGCTGCAGTCAGCAACCTCCAGAAGTTCACACATTGCCTTCTCATTGCAGTTTCCCACTTACTATTTCCCATGCTGTTCAGGAGGATCCAATTACTCTTCAGGAAACCTCTTCTGAGGAAAGGAAGCATTGTGGAAAATCTCTTCCTATGTCTTCCTTTTTGGGGAATGCCCTACGGTCCATCCATGGGGGATCTCTGGATTCAAGCCTGAATGTGTTTTTGTAGGTTCAGTTCAGCTCAGCTATTTTACCTGCAGGTGGGAAAGATGCTGTCATTCTGCTCTATGAAAATGAAAATTGGTGCTCTTTGCAAGTTTTCCAAAAGATCAAAATGTGTAGCAGAGGTGTTTTGAAAGCAATTGAATAGCTATTGCCTGATTTAAAAAAAATACAGATAGAATCATTGCTTCTAACTTTTGCTTCTGTCCTTCAAAGTCTCACTTAAATAGCTTGTGGTTTTACAGTGCTATCATCCATCATTATTGACCATGCCAACTATGACTAAGGAGAATTGGACTTCTGTGATACTTGGAGAACCTTGCATTGCCCATTCCTGATTTAAAGCATATATAATGAGCAAGTCAGGAAAAGTTGGATGGTCTCAATAAAGACAGAATCTGAGAAACATGAGAACAAACTAGTTGTGATCCCAATCACACAAACAGATTTTGCATTGGCTTTTTAACATGTTAATTACAAGTATAGGCTAACTCAAATCAGGATTAGGAGATGAAGGCTAGGGAGTTTGATCACTATGTACCTATGTACATGCGCAAAAGCATCATGCACGTGCGTTGGCAAACCAATAGTTACAAAAAAGGAAACCCACCACTGTACTGGGGCAAATGCCATTGAAACCAATAAGTATCTGTGCAACTTCAAAAAACTGAATGAGAAAACCTCAGAATTTGAAAACTTGCCTCCCTCATATCTATATTTGAGGAATTGCAGAAGATAGGTGAGATCTAGAACATTGACTTCTCCTGCACTGACTTTTTGGTTGTGATGAAAAGATGATCATTTCTTGCATAATTCTGTTTCCTTTTTTTTTCCAGGAGCCCCAATCCTCTTCATTGTGCCGTGGGTAGTGGTGAAATATCTTTACGAAAATATTCAGTAAGTTACAAAAAAAAATGCTACAAAAATGCATTGTCCACATGTGTAGATGATGTGCAGGCTGGCTATGGTCTTTCTGTAATTCCATTATTACCAGGTGCTTTGGAAAGTGCCACTCACATGAGATTTGGAAATGCTTGGTCAAGGACATCGTAACATACAATGTATGAGCAGCACGAAAAATTGCTGAAGAATAAGAATCTGTACCCATTTTCTTTCTTTCTTTTTTTCTTTCTTTCTTCACTCCCCCAGTTGCTGGAGTACCAATAATAATATGGGATTCTGGTGGATCCTGCGTTCCCCTGTATTCTTAGCCATTTTGGTAAGCCCCCTTTTTTTCTTTTCTTTATTGAAGCCTTTATTGGAGCTAAATGCTCTGTTCCAAATTGCATCATTTTCTTGTTTTCAGCTGTGCTCTTTGTATGTTATGTTTTTTTAGCCAATTAAGGGCAGGAGTGGGGGAACTGTGTACAGTATTTACTTTTCATCTGTGAAGACGATTCACTTGTCAGGCATGCCTCCTTCAGTATCCAAAAATCTCAACTCCATTTGAATAGAGATAAAGTACTTTTACTAGATATGAATTGATAGCAGCGAAAAGGAAAGCAAGATCTGAGCCAAAAAGGTGCAAACAAGTACATATCAAATGATTACCCAGCAATTACCCTCCAATTACCCCAGCCCAGGTTAGTATGTGAGACGGTTGACCAGCCTGATGAGGCCTTTTGAAGATGCACCCCACATGACACCTTAGGGAATTGTAGATTGGACACTGGGCTGGGGTAATTGGAGGGAGGGGGTTGGGTAATCATTTGATATGTACTTGTTTGTGCCTTTTTGGCTCAGATCTTGCTTTCCGTTTTGCTGCTATCAATTCATATCTAGTAAAAGTACTTTATCTCTATTCAAATGGAGTTGAGGTTTTTCTTTCTTGGATACTGAAGGAGGCATGCCTGACATTAAGCAAGAGCTCACCTCACACCCATCCCAGAGTTAAAAGCTTCCGTGAAGGGATCACCCAAATGTCTAACCCTTGCAGCGAGCAGGAGAAGGCAATGGCAAGGGCTACAACCAGCCGAAAACCAGAGGGTGCCTGACACTTTTCCCTCCTGTCTTTATTCACTATTTTTAATTACGCATCCTAGGATGGCTTCCAATAATGAATCAATCAACAAATAAGACTTAAACTTTATTGTCACTTTGAATGTACGCTAATCGGCATACATTAAAATGAAATTTTGTTGCTTACAGCTCTCACCAAGGGTCACCACCTAAACATGACAATATAAATAAATAGATACAAAAGTATGCATATACCCACATATGTTATATGACAGGGAGAAACAATGCAGTTTAGTTCGGATGTAATACAATATTGTGAAGCTCAAATCACTGCTTATTACAAATAAACATCTGAAATTTCAAATATTAAAACAAAAACAGTATAAACCTTCAAAAAAATCATTTTAAGTTCTAAAACTCTTATTTCAAGGTAGAAAAAAAGCCTGTTTAAAAATATCTCCTATATTGTGCCATAATTGCTCTAAGAGGGGGGTAGATGAGCCATAGTCTGCCAAGTGTGTGTGGCCCACATTGGATAGGCACATAAAGAAGAAAATATAAGCGGTATCTTGATGGAATGAACCCCCTGGCCCATCTATAGGTAGTCCTAGACTTACAGCCGTTTGTTTAGCAACCATTCAAAGTTACAACAGTACTGAAAAATGTGACTGGCAACTGGACCTCCTTATTGTGATTGTCGGGGGCAATATGATGCCATTTGTAAACCACTTGGAGAGTGTTGTAAAGCACTATGGAGCGGTGCGTAAGTCTAAGTGCTATTGTTATTGCTATTATAACCATTGCAGGATCTCCACAATCATCTAATCACAATTCCAGCCCTTAGCAACCATAATGTATGTATGCTGGTTGCAACATCACAGGATCACCATTTGCGATCTTCCCAGCCAGCTTCCAACAAGCAAAGTCAGTGAGAGAGGCCAGATTTGCTTAATGACTGCATAGTTCACTTTGCAACTGGAGTGATTTGCTTAACAACCATCATAAAATTTTGGCGTGACTCATTTAACAATTGCTGAGCAATGGAAATACAGGTTCTAGTTGGGGTCATAAGTTGAGGACCACCTGTAGTCCTGCAGTCTCTTCTCACAGACTGCATAAGGAAGCTCAGTGGTTTTACAGCAGATGACCTTCCGAGGGAGCCACAAGGCAGGGGTGAAATCAACTTACCTTCACTACCGGTTCGCAAATGTGAGCATGCGCGCATGCGCAGAGCTTAAAAAATGGGACATGATGACATCCAGGCGGCTGGGCGAAGCCTCCCACTGCCACCACTACCAGTTTGGGCAAACCGGATAGAACCGGTTGAATTGCACCACTGCCACAGGGCCATCATGGCTAATAGCCGTTGATCCCATGACTTCCATGAATTGGCCCAATACTTATTTGAAACCAGCCCAGCTGATAGCTAGATCCACATCTCATGGTAGCAAATTCCAGAGCTGAATTGTCTGCGTTCCTCCTGCCAGCAGAATGATTTGCATAAAGGCAGTCCTTCAAGTAACTTCTGGGTCCCATCCCCCCCCCCCAATTTATGCATTGTATACTGGATTTGTGAGTTTTATTCTATCCATTTTGATCATATAATCTTCAAATATTTGGATTGCAAATATCAAGTTGATTTTCATACTAAGCAGACTTTTTCTCATTTTGTTTTCTGTGTATAATAATAATAATCCCCAGGGTACATATAGGCATGTATATTTGGGAGTGGGGTGGGGGATAACTTGATCCCAACTGTTTACTTGTAAAGAGAATATAACTAGTATAATATTTTGGATTAGAATGGAACAAAGCATTGGAAGGGAATGAATGAATCTTTTTCTGGAATCGCACAACTGTCCTCTATAACTGCAATGTGATCCTGCAAAAAGAAACAATGGTTTAAGAGATTAGCAGCTGGTATTACATGAGCAGCTCTGCACACCCCAAAATGCTACACAACCTTAATTGAAAACAGTAAGGAAACATAGTCCTGTGATCCTGGAACTATACTGTGGTCTGAGAACCAGGTTCTCATTCCCGTTTGAGTGACTACCTATGTGTAGCAGCTGAAGATTTTGGCTAGTCTGATGTGATAACTTAACAAGAGTTATTATTAAGAGTTATCTTATGAAGAGCCACACTAGCACAAAACTTATTTTTGAGAAAATACCAGAAGTTCTCCAGTAATGAACATACATTTTCCTCGTGAGTAGCAGAATTCAGTTTCTATAGCATTTTTCTTAAATGCTTACGTCCCAACATATGATTAATAAAATACTTCTCTGCCAGCCAGCGTCTCGTCTGTCTACCTGGCCATTGAAATATTTTCTCTAGGAAATCTTATAGCACTAATTAAGGATAGAAATGATCAGTAACAGGACAGAAGCTACAAAACAGTCACTGTAAATTTGGGGAGAGTGAGAAAATAAATCAAAACTATAACAGTGTTCAAGAATCCTCTAGATGTTTACTATGCATAGTTCTCTGGTCAACTTATGCAATGCTTTCCCTTCTGGCCACTCAGTCACTCTGCTTCTTTTTCTTTCTTTCAGATTAATTTCTTCATTTTCATCCGTATCATTCAGATCTTGGTTTCTAAGCTCCGTGCCCACCAGATGCGATACACAGACTACAAGTTTCGGTATTTGCTCTTGGCATTTTCCCCAAATGGCAAGCTTCTTGAGAAAAGAACATTATTTTCTCAAGAAGCATGCCACGATGTAAAAAAGATGTTGAGACTCTAGAGAAGAGCAACAAATATGATTAGGGGACTGGAGGCTAAAACATATGAAGAATGGTTGCAGGAACTGGGTATGTCTAATGAAAAGAAGGACTAGGGGAGACATGATAGCAGTGTTCTAATATCTCAGGGGCTGCCACAAAGAAGAGGGAGTGAAGCTATTCTCCAAAGCACCTGAGGGCAGGACAAGAAGTAATGGATGGAAACTAATCAAGGAGAGAAGCAACTTAGAACTAAGGAGAAATTACCTGACAGTTAGAATAATTAATGGAACAACTTGCCTCCAGAAGCTATGAATGTTCCAACACTGGAAGTTTTTAAGAAGATGTTGGATAAACATTTGTCTGAAGTGGTATAGAGTTTCCTGCCTAAGCAGGGGGTTGGACTAGAAGACCTCCAAGGTCCCTTCCAACTCTGTTATTCTATTCTATTCCATTTTTCACTCTCCCTATGACATCCTTGACTTTCTAGATCCGGGTAGGGCTTTCGGTCTGCCCCATGATCTATAGGTTTCTAAAATAGCCATCCAGACATTAAGACTATAGTCCTTGCCATCTTTTGGTGTGACTCCCCATAAAAGTTTACTCTGAGTGTAAATTTGCATGTAAAAATGCTTAAAGTGACAAAAAGAAGAAACTAGGAAGTGAAGCAATCACAGTAACTGCACTACATTCACATCATGTCAAATTCAAATTCCGATTTGGATCTG